TATGTGGCCGAGTCGAGCGAGGAGGGCAGCTCCGGGAGTCTGAACGACCACCACCGCAAGAGCCGCAAGAGCATCAACGAAAAGGCGGCGCTGGAGGGCGGTGGCGCCGGGGCTAACGAAAAGGACGACGGCAATGGCGTGAAGCGCGGGCGCATCAAGCACGTGCGGATCTACTTTGACAAGAGCCAGCCCGACCTCGGCTACCAGCTGTTGCTGCCCGCTAAGCCCAAGGCCCTGCAGGACCAGCCTTCGCCACACGCGCAGCCCTCGCCGACGACGGCCGCGGTCGACAGCGAGGCGTTGAGCGACATCCACGGCTCGTCGTCGTCGTCGTCGCTGAACGAGAGCGGCGGCGCCACGGGCATGGGCGAGGCCTTCAAGCGCTACGTGTGGTCGTCCTACACGACCTACATCGTCGACTTCATCAACCAGCTCCTTGACAAGAACTGGCCCGGTCGCGAGTATCTCGACATCAACTACCCGTGCCCTGGCTCTAGGTACTGTGTGTGCGGTGTGTGCGGTGTGTGCGGTGTGTGCGGTGTGTGCGGTGTGTGCGGTGTGTGCGGTGTGTGCGGTGTGTGCGGTGTGACTGACTGACTTGACGATGTCGTGGGCATGCAGGTTTGCTTCCATTTTTGCGCAGTCATCGCCGGGAGAGGAGAGCAGCGATTCGGTGCTGGGCGGCAGCGTGCTGGTGCGGTACCTGAACTCGATGACGTCGGTCGACGACCTGAAGCGGGACAAGCAGAAGGACAAGCAGCCCGAGCAGCAGCCGTCCAAGGCCGCCATCGAGGCCGTCGTCGGCACCGCGGCCTCGCCTCGGGCCGACAACGTTGGCAAGGAGCGGAAAGTGCAGCAGAACGGAGGAGGCGGGGATGGCGGAGCGGAGGCGAACGGAGCGAAACGGCCACACCATGTAGAGAAGAAGAAGGCCAAGAAGGACGACCACGGCAAAGCGGAGAGGAAGAAGGAGAGGGCCAGGCTGCGAGAACAACAGCAGAAGGAGAACGAGCGCACCGCGACGACTACGACGACCACCACCACCTCC